GCTCTTCCACCGCCTTCTCCAGCCTCCACTTCTCCTTTTAGTTCCCTCAGTGTGGACAGGATTCAAACCCTTGTTTCCTTTATCCCACACTTTTTTTTTTTTCAGATATCTCAGTCTCTCTCCAATCTTTCAACACCACCCCTCCCTACACAGCTGACTAAGTCTCTAGCTCTCAGCTAGTCCCTAGCTAGATGTCGCAATTGAATATCTCCCCATCACCTCATAATTGGCTAGACAAAAGCCAACTGAGCATCTTTGCCTCCTTATTTGTCTTGTTTCTGCAGATGCCTTGACTCTTTCCTCTCTTCTTGAATCTAAGCCAGTTTAGTTTTCCTCTATACTCCCATCCATCTTTTCTCTGTACCTCCACAGCTATTCCCACATCTGAGCCCAGCACTTCCACCTTGGACAATTGCTGTAGCATGTCACCCTATTCTCTATATCTAGTATCTCCCTTCTGCAATCCATCCTAAACACAATGGCCCATATGATGTGCCTACAGCATCTTTCACAACAGCCTTCACCAACCTCCTCTGTTCATAGTCCTTGTTTTGGCATCCATGGCCCACGGCAGTCTTCATATCATGGCCCCTCTCACCCTCATATTATTCCCCACCACTCCAGCCCAACTGTCCACTGGTAATCTTCTGATTCCTCACACTCAAGATCCCTGCCTAGCCCATTTTCCCCTTGTGTGGAGGAAGGTCCTGCCCCTCCCCCAAGATTCATGCCCACCTCACCTCCCATGACCCTCTCAGACTGTTTCCATCCTCAGGTACTTCCTCGGTACTGGAGCTTATTTAGATTTGCCTAATCTGTATCTCCAGCTAGACTGCAACTTTCTGCCTTTGTCCATTTCCTCTTTTAATGCCTCCCCCAGTGCTTTAGCACAAGGTGTTAGCACAGAGTGACTCAGGGAATTTGAGTGAGGAGCTGAGCTGAGAGGGCCAACCATGGGGAAGCAGAAATCCTGGGTCCTCTCACCTGGATGACCATGGGCAAGAGTTTCCCATCAGGCTGCAGTTTCAGCATGACCAGAGGGGCAGCCAGGTACTGCTGGCTACACAGGATGTTGTTGGCCTTGATCTCATCCAGCAGGGATAAATCGGCTTCAAACAGTGTGCCTCCCTAGATAGGAGCAGAGGACAAGGGCTGCTGTCAGCATAAGGCATCTTCTTCCCACTCTGCTTCCCCAAAGGAAAAAGAAAAAGAAGGAAACTAACTTGTCTCCATCACCTACTTTGTACCAGGTACTGGATCATGTGCTTATTGCCTCATGTGATTCTTACATGCACTTGAATTAGCCCCAGTTTTATAAAAGAGGACACAGATGACCAGAGAGGATAGGTATCTTGCCTGAAGTCACACAGTTTATTAACAGCAGAGCCAGGAATCAAACCCAAGTCTGTCTCACCCTATAATCCATGAGTTTTCTCTCTCAATTGATCCATGTTGATTCCTGATTAATAACCCCACCCCTGACCTGATTCTCTTACTCCATACCCTCCTTAAATCCCTAGCACCAAGGCCCAGTTATATCATTTTAACTCTGTCTCTATCACCCACCATACATACTTCCTCCACAATATGCATTTCTCATTCAGAGAAGAAGGCCATGAGGTTGTACTTCACTCAAGATTTTTTCTGAATAGAATCCCTTCTTGCTGTCAGGCAGCAAGTTGGACCCATATGGACACCACCGCAGGAAAAACACTGATCCCACCTCCATTTCACTCTGTGGTCCCCTTTGTGCTATGTCCATACCTGAAGCTCCTTCTCCAGCTGGGCCTGCAGCTCCTCCATTCCTGGAGGGAACACTAGGCGGGCAGGAAGGTGACTGGAGCGTTTTAGCAACATGGGGTTGGCGCCGTTAAGAAACTGGTACCCAAATAAGGCATCCTCCTTCCAGGAGTCCCGCACTTTCTCTGGGGATTGCAGTTGTGGAACATGCTGTGAGATCTGAGCTCTTGGTTCTTCCAACCCCCACCAAACCATCCCCTCTTGACCCCAGCCTATCAGAGGGACCCAGATCTCAAGTCTCCCAGCCCTGTTTTGCTAGATTGGGAGGGGGGCGGGATCTGGAGTAAGGGTCCTGGGAGAAGTAATGGGGTAGGAAGACTGACCAGCCAGCTTGCTCTGGCCACACCAGAAAATCCTGTTGAAGTCATTTAGATCCTTCCAGCAAGTCAGAACATTTAAAGAGTCTTTGATAGCTAGGTCAGCCAGCCTTCAGGGAAAGATATGTAAAGAGTTTGAGTTATTCTCAGAATCACACATTACAACCAAAGGCACCCACCTAAGGCTAGTCCAGCCATGTGAAGTCTACAGGAGCTTCTTGGCCTCCACTGGACCAGGACACCTCCCTCTTACCCAGCCCCCCATTACTTGTTCTCACCCCTTGGCCAGTGAAGCCTCAAAGTCAATTCTCTTGTCCTCCAGAAATCTCTCATCTGCAGGGAGGTCATTTAAAGTGGTCGCTGCCACATTCAGGATTAACCCATCCTTCCAGTTACCCCACCTGTGGGGCAGAAATGAAATCAGGCATTGGTGCTGGGAAGGGCCAGCACCCCGTGGGGTCAGGAGGAGTCCGGAGGCAGGATTCAGGCTCACCGGTACAGCTTCCTTCTCTCTTCCAGCTCCTCCTCCCGGTGTTTTCTGAACAGGTCTTGAGGGTCATCTACCACTGTGCATCCTAGAAGTGGGGAAGAGGGCATGGGCGGTGAGGCCTCTCCTGAGAGCCTGTCCTCTGTCCCTGCTAAGGCTGCCTCTTCGGTCTCCTTCCTGGGGCGGAAGCCTGACCCTTCAACATCGTGCCCCTCCCCAACCTCCAGCAACCCACTCTTCCACAATCTGCAAAGAACTGGCCCGCCAGTTCCTGCCCCAAAGCACTGTCCCCTCTTCTCCTCTTCCTCATTCCTAGCTTCTCTTGTGTCCCAGAGATCTCTTCACACCCCCACCCTACACTCACCAGTGCCCTCGGCTAGGGTCAGGACGCCATCGCCCATCACCCAGCGGTAACATGGGAACCTGAACTCGTCCCCACTGGCCCCGGGGCCTTGCACAGAGATCCAGTTGCAGAACCAAGCATCATCCTGAAAGAGGCGCCGTTTCTGCAATTTCACGAACAGCAGCGGCCCCAGGTAGTGCGACACGTCCTCCTTGAATTCCGTCTCCTGCAGGCGATATAAGAGGTTCAGTATCCATGAGGTTGCAGGAAAGGACACTTGGAATGAGCCCTCCTCCCTCAAACGCTCTTCTTGGAAAGCTGGGTCTAAGGGAAAGTGGGGCAAAAGGAGACAGAAAGAGAAAGGGGTCAGTCACATCGAACAGGTGGCTCTATGACCCCATTAAGAGTCGTCGAGTTCCTCAGTCCGGATTGAGGCGGAGAAGGGAAGATACATTCCTTCCCTCTCCTTTTTCTCCCTGTAGTCATTGATTGTGCCAAGCATTGAACTGGGCACTGGACACCGGCGCCACGCCTTGAGCTAACGCACAGTTGCACGTGAAGATACACTGTTAACCAAGCAGTTACATCAGGGAGACCACCTCCAAGGCTGACCTGGGGCAGGCTTCCGAAAGACATTCGAAGTGGAGACCTCTAGTTGAGAACGGTTTAGCTAGGGAGAGTGAGAGAGAAGAAAAAGTGGGGGGAAATGAGTGCCAGGGAGAGCCCCGAGAGATCTGGAGGCTGAGCGAGGGCGAACGGCCGCGTAGAGCGTGGGGCGCTGAGCGCGAGATGTGCGAAATGAGCTGGACCAGATTGTGAAGAGTCGAAGGTTAAGGGCTTTGGATTTGGTCTTGAAAACAAGCGGAAGCCATTCAAATGTTTTAAGCCATAGCGAATGTTTTAAGGGTAGGAATGTATTTGGAACAAGTCGCTCTGGCTGCAGAAGGGCTTGCAAGGACAGGAGAGAAAGTGGCGAAGCATGACAAGAGGCTAAAGGTGGCGTAGGTTCAAGGAGATCTTGGCGGTCGGAGGTGGGTGGAAATCTGGACACAGTGACGGAGATGACCAGGAGATAGAATTGACAGCGCTCAATTCTTGGTTATACAGAGGAGATGGGAGGGGAAGGCTCGAATGACAGACACCTGGGGGAGGCAAGAGGAGAGATCTGAGAGGTGGGAAGAAGCGAGGACCTCACTTGGGCATGTTTCTTTGAGGCGTCCGTGGGACAGACATCTGGATCTGGGGATCATGGAGAGAGCTGGACGGGAGGTGGGAATTTGGGGATGCGAATTGCGGAGGAAAAAAAGTAACAAAAGCTATGGGCGAATACGAGGTAGCTGTGATGCGAGAAGAGAAGTGGGTCGGGAAATTTATTGTTCTAGTCTCTTAGCTTCTTCCCCCTACTCACCCTCCGGGTTCCCCCGTCCCGCCCGGCCTCACTCGGGTGGTAAAGCCCGCAAGTTCGGAGATCTAGCAACAGCCGAAAAGGTTAGAAACAGAAGCTTTTAAGAACAGAGAAAAGAGGACACTCCCGGCCGCTCCAGGGGCCCTGAGTTTCGAGAAGAGAGAGCATTGTGAACGACAGACACGCAGGAGTATCCTCTCTATTCCAAAGAGGAGGGCGACGGGAATACTTATTGAGCCCTTGCAGTGTGCCACGTATCGCCCTAAGCGCTCTGCCCTGCGGTCTCTGAGCTCTCTTTGCGCAGGCGGCACGTCTCTTCTCCGGTATTTGACCGCCTTGGGGGCAGCGGCGCAGCCCATCGCCCGGCTCCCGCCAGCTCACCTTGCCCCGCACCGGCCGCAGTCGCGTCCCAAGCTGAGCTTCTCCGTGCTGACCGACCAGCCACAGCTGCACCTTGTTGTTGGAGCCCGCGTAGAATGAGGACCCAGTGGACACACGAACGCGGTAGACACCCATCTTGCTCAAAGAAGTTTCTTGCCTTCTGAGGGGGCAGAAGAGCGGCCGCGCCAAATAACAGGGCTGGAAACCCCGCCCCTCAGAAATCTTGCGGGGGTGGGGGGTCAGGGGTGTGGGTAGCACGTCTCCGACCAACCAGGCCTGGCCACCTGCTGGGTCCCCAGCTCTCGCAGCAGAGTTCAGCCCCAGCCATGAAGGTGGGGCCCTGGAGGAGGCCCAGGGTGCGGACCATCATCTTGGTGGGAGGAGGATAGAATGGGAAAGTAGAAGAGGATTTGGGCAGAAACCATGCAGGAAGCGGGAACTGCCGCCTAGCCCAACAGGCAGACGTGCGGATGGGAAACCCACTCCGTCTAAATTCTCGCCCTCCCTCTCTTTCTCTCCCTCCTCACAAGTTGGTTCACCCCTGCCAACGGTCATGCTTAAGGCTGTAGAGATGGGTAAAGGAAGGAAGCAAGGAGACCTGGTCTGCAGCAGCATTTGAGGAAGGCATTTGGGTTACCGAATTAATTTGACCAACTTTGAACACTTTCTACTCTTCCCTGTGCCAAGCTCTGGAGCTCATCCCTTTCTAGCTTAAGAACCCCTCCCTCTCTGTTGCCTGTAGCATAAAAATACAAACTTCTTGGTATTCAAAGCCCTTGATAACCTGGCCTGTCTTCCTCCCATCTCATCCCATTGCACCTCATCCTCATCTCTGGTTCCTCCACTTCAGGCTGGAGCGCTATGTTTCCCAGAACCCATCATGTTGTTTGCTTGTAGTCCTTGCTCCTGGAAAATTGTATTCAGCCTTCTAAACCCTGGTTAGACTCCAGTTTTTCAGCGAAGTCTTCCTTGGCCACTTTACCCCTCCCCACTCCCCTCACCAGAGTTATCAGCTTCTGTTCTACTGCTTTAGCCCTGTGCATACTTCTATTATTGCACACTTAGTACACAGTAATTGTTTATATGTCCATATGCCCCACCTAGGTGAGCTCCTAGGCAAGGGCCACATTTCCAGCATGATTTACCCACTTTTGTTTCCCCTGGATTTAGCACACATCAGGCTGTGGATGTCAATAAGTGTTTCCTGAAACACAATGAACTGAAAGATCAATTATAAATAAGTCCTTCTCTTAGAGGAGACAAAGGTAAACAAATAACTCCCAGACAATGTAAATAATAAGGGAATACTAAAACAAACTCTGATACCACCATGATATGGACTACTTATCAGTCTGGTAAAACAAATGAAGTTGATGGGAAAATGTCTGCAATGTATATTTTCTCCTTCATTTATTTTTTTAGTGGGAAGTACATTCACTTGATTCAAAGTTCACAAGGTACAAAGTGGTATTCACTAGTGTCTCCCTCTCTCTTGGCCCAAGCCACCCAGTTCCTCAGCCTCCAGCTGTCACTGTCACCAGTCTCTTTTGTGCACATTCACAAATAAGTACATACCTAAACTTTTTGTCTTTTTTCTGCACATGGTAGCAAACTTTACATACTGTTCTGTACCTTATTTTTTCCACATTGCAACATAAATCAGAAGATACTTCCATGTTGGTACTTAAAGAGCTTCCTTGTCCTTAAAGTGGTCATAATATAATATATGAAACCAGTTTCTTATAAGTGGACATTTAGCTTGTTTGCAATCTTTTGTAACTATAAAGAATTTTTTACTGAAAAAAAATTACCTGGTATATATTTATCATTTCTCATATGTGAGTATATCTTTAGTACAAAATCCTAGAAATGAAACTTCTAGGCCAAAAGCATGTGTAATTTTGGCAGAAATTGCTAACTAGCCCTCCGTAGAAGTTGTGCCAATCTACACTTCCATCATTGAGTCCACTCATTCTCCCTCACTCTTGCCAATAGTGTGTTGATAAACATTTTTACCTTAGCCAATTTGATAGGTGAAAAATGGTACTCTAGTGTAATTTTATTTGCATTTCTCTTATTATGAGTAGGGTTGAGTATCTTTTTATGTTGTAGGAGCCATTTGCATTTCCTTTTCTGTGAACTAGCTATCCCATTTTTCTATTGGATTTTGGTCTTTTTCTTATTGATTTGTAAGAACTATTACTATATTAGGAAAATTAGCCCTTTTCCAGCTCTATCACTACTAAGAGGGTCCCAATAGCAATGACAGTCCTTTTTACCTACCTCATCTCCTTAGAACCCAAATTCTGGTCTATAGTATTATTCTCCACTAAAAGAAATCTGGGATCCTTAGAAAGTAGCTGATTCCAAGCCTTAGGGCAGGTAAAACTCAGGATAACTTGAAACGTTATTATTGTCAGAAAAAAAAATTAAAGGTGCTCTCAGAAAGTCATAGCAATGCTAATAGGGCAAAATGTTCAATTCAGGGGGTTCCCACTGGCTGTGTGTGACTTTTGAGGAGCGAAGACTAAATAATAGGTAGAGTTAATTGAAATAAGTAAATATATTAGTTAGAATGCTTTCTAATTGCAAGTAACTAAAAAATCAATCGGTTAATTAGTTGTAGTTAACCGCCCCCCCCAAAAATCAATTCAAAATGACTCAAACAATAAGGAAAAATTATTATTTCAGAAAAAAAGAAGCCCATGGAGTAGGTTGGCTCTATGGTGGTTAGTTCAATGGTTCAACAGCATCATCAAGGAGCCAAGGTTTCTTTTCTTTTATTTAATTTTCTTCTATTTTTCTTCATCAGATAACTCAATGAATTATCTCCTTGGCAAACTGCCTACTACCACTCCAGGCATCCTATACAGGCATAACAACATTCACCAGGAAAAGAAAGACCATTTCTTCCTGTGCCTCTCTTTTAAGAACAAGGGAAGCTTTCCCAGAAACCATTTAGCAGTTTCCCCTTATCTATCTTTGGCCAAAACTGCGCACCAAACCCAAATCCTTCAAACAATCAAGAGAAATAAAACCACCATGATCATCTTAACCTAGTCAAGATTTACCCCTGAGTTACATGAGGAAGGATGGCAATGCAAACATGTTTGGGGCCCCACTAATAAGCAAGAAATAAATACTTCATAGTAATATTTAAAAAAAGAAAAATTACTGTAAACTGTTACAAAAATGTATAATACAAAAGATCAATTATATTAGGATTTTTGAAATTCTTATACGTTTTATAAGAAAGGGAATGTTACTAAATATGAGTATGTGTGTTTCTTCTAAGTACAGATCTCTTTATAGTGAACAGATATATGCTCGTTTCCACTGTGAAATGGAAAAGGATGAAAACATGGAACTGTGTATGAGCTAAATAGTCCCGGAAAAAATAAGAACTGTTCCAAGAACAGAAAAGACTGATCAGCACATGTGGCTACACATGATAACCAAGTAGAAAGGAGACCCAACCAGTTAACCAGCACTGGTTACATTCCATGCCCAAGGAGAAAGGGGGTCCTGAGCCAAATATCCTAAAGATGAGCATAAAGGTGCAAACACAATCCTTCTCTTCCATGAGATGAATCCACTAGATGCTCCTATAACCATATGGCATTAATAACGCATAATTTTCAAATAATGCTAACAAAGCAAGTCAATATATCATAATGACAATAAGGGGTTCCATAACTCTGGCCAAGTGAAACTAAAGGAATACATCATCTCAGATGCAAAAACTAAAAACATGTGGAAGATACAAACATTAAAAGACTTATTGGAGTAACAAGAGAAGTTTTACTATAACAAAGATAGCTTCTTGGGAGAAACAACAAGCTTCAAAGCCCCAAGCATGAATCAATCTGTTGAGAAGCCCAATTCTAGAGCTTCAGTGCATATCAGGTTCTGAGACAATATTCTTTGGAGGTATACAGGGTCTGACAAAATTTTGGTAACACCAAGAAAACATCAAAAGAAGTATTTCAGCAAACTTAAGAAAGTACGTTTTTTCTAGAGAAAAATAAGAACGATGTTTTTGAACAATTTAGTGAACTAATGAATTAAATCCGTGGTGTTGGTGTTTTAAATTAGATTTAAGTATAATGACAGTAAGTTTTGTAATCACTGTATTTGTGTTTATATTGTGTACTGTTTAAAGTGTATTCAAATAACCATTGTGAAAGCCCGCTGAAATGTGAAAGGGTTAAAGAATAATTAAAACCTGAAACTGGACAAAGGAAGTCTATACCTTAGGCCTAGTTTCTGGAACCCCTAACCACATTCTGTTAATCATGAAACTTGTAACAATGAGCTCATACGCTAACTGCCAATTTTAGCCTGTGTAACCCTGCTTGCTTGCGTGGCATGAAAAATAATCAATTGTATATAAGCTGAAAATTACTGTTTGGCCATCGCCCATGAGAATACTGGCTATTGCCCATGGGAACATAGGCAATCACCAATAGGAACATAACATTCTAACAACAAGCTTTCTGCTTCTGTACTTCCCGCTTGCACACCTGACCAGTGGGTTGACAGGTAGTGAATAGGAGAAAGATGGACCTTTGTGTTTAAGACAGAATGAGGAATGGGATTTGGGGCTTAAAAACCTTGTATCTTGGCAATTCGGGGCTGCTCCTTTGCAAGGACAGCCGCCGGCTAATAAACTGTCTCCTGGTTAAGAGCACTCAAGTTGGGTCTGGTTATTCTGGACACAACAACCATCATATTAAATCTGTAATTGCAGTTTAAGTTGTTTAAGGAAATTGATGAAGTTTGTAATCAATGTTTAAATATTAAATTTTATTTTTCAAAGTTCTGTTTATAGATACATGTTTAATAAGTTGAGCATTAAAAAATACAAATATTTGTGGGATGTTCTCTCCATAGACAAAAATATTCTCAAACTTTAAAACTGCTGTCAACAATGTGCATAAATTCTATTAACAATAAACATAGATAAATACCTGAAAAGATATAAACCAAAGGATTAGCAATGATTATTTCTAAGGAGTGGTAAAAGGTGGAGAAGTGACTTTCATTCTTTACATACTTAGAAATTTTTTAAACTTTTTACAAAAGCATGAGTTATTTCTGTGATCTCAAATTTTTAATCTTTTTTTCATAGATCATATTTTTATTATCTTTTAGCTGTGATGTTCCAAGA